GAGGGTGTCTGAGGTGTGTGCTTTTATGCAGGCTGGTTAATGAGGTGCTTGATTAGTGACAGGTGCAGGTGCTCAGTACTCAGGTGAGAGGGATCGTTGTGATTGGGTGGTGGTGGAGTCTGGCCGATCTGTTACAGGTATATATATTGTGTTATATATATAAGTGTGGGCTGGTTAATGAGGTGCTTGATTAGTGACAGGTGCAGGTGCTCAGTACTCAGGTGAGAGGGATCGTTGTGATTGGGTGGTGGTGGAGCCTGGCCGATATGTTACAGGTATATATATTGTGTTATATATATAAGTGTATTATTTAGTATATGGTTTATATATCTATATATTAAACTTTCCCTTCATCAAAGTACAAAACAACTATTTTTATCCAGTGATTCCATAATCTGTCAACTAAAAAAAGTAATATGTCTAATAAAATGTTTAATTTTAGCAGCCTTATCTTTTTTCTTTTTTTTTTTTGGTCTGGGACCCTGGGTGTCTCTGTTTGTGTTAAGGTACTTGTATTTGTTTCTAAGATTCCTACTCATATCTATGGCACACACCTCAGCGATCCGGGAACTAGGAGGAACAGGAGACACTTGGAGACAGGAGGAGGAACACAGGAGGTAAGTAATGCAGGAAGTATTCAAATGGAAGTAGTAGCAAAGTCATTGAGTCCTCTACATTTATACGAGACCAGACAGTGAGGGTGTCTGAGGTGTGTGCTTTTATGCAGGCTGGTTAATGAGGTGCTTGATTAGTGACAGGTGCAGGTGCTCAGTACTCAGGTGAGAGGGATCGTTGTGATTGGGTGGTGGTGGAGACTGGCCGAACTGTTACAGGGATATATATTGTGTTATATATATAAGTGTATTATTTAGTATATGGTTTATATATCTATATATTAAACTTTCCCTTCATCAAAGTACAAAACAACTATTTTTATCCAGTGATTCCATAATCTGTCAACTAAAAAAAGTAATATGTCTAATAAAATGTTTAATTTTAGCAGCCTTATCTTTTTTCTTTTTTTTTTTGGTCTGGGACCCTGGGTGTCTCTGTTTGTGTTAAGGTACTTGTATTTGTTTCTAAGATTCCTACTATATCTATTTTAACTTGCACATGTTTTTGTTTCAGCATGTGGTGAGCAGTCACAGTTCTTTCCAGCCCAGCAGAAGCGAATCGTTGGTGGGAGAACAGCATCTCCAGGTCTGTTCCCCTGGCAGGTTCTGCTCTCGGTAGAGGATGTGTCCCGTGTCCCTGAGGACCGCTGGTTTGGCAGCGGCGCTCTCCTCTCCTCAACCTGGGTTCTCACAGCTGCTCATGTGCTCAGATCTCACCGCCGTGATCTTTCCGTTGTACCTGTTGCTTCTGAACACATCCGTGTGCACTTAGGCCTCACGGATGTACGGGATAAGCACTTGGCCACCAACCGGTCCGTAGCAAAAGTCATCCTCCATCCTCATTTTGATCCTCAAAACTACAACAACGACATTGCTCTGGTTAAACTCAGCCAGGAGGTGGTGCTGTCTGCGTTAATACGGCCCGTCTGTCTACCAAGGCCTGGTGTAGAAGGGCATGCCCTGATGCCTCTGCCCAACACATTGGGTATAGTGGCCGGTTGGGGCATTAACACGGCCAATGCTTCTGCCTCCTCCAGTGGCTTGACCTCCGATTCCAGCACCATTTCCGAGCTGCTCCAGTATGTGAAGCTCCCGGTTGTGCCGCAGGACGAATGTGAAGCCAGTTATGCATCACGCTCCGTCAACTACAACATCACCAGCAATATGTTTTGCGCTGGCTTCTACGAAGGCGGTCAGGACACCTGTTTGGGGGACAGTGGGGGAGCGTTTGTCACCCAGGACGCCCGCAGTCGCAGATGGGTTGCACAAGGACTGGTGTCCTGGGGCGGGCCAGAGGAGTGTGGCAGTCAGAGGGTGTATGGGGTGTACACTCGGGTGACAAACTACGTCCACTGGCTACACAGGCACATGGATGTGGACCGCTGGTAGTGAGGAAGTCGGAAAAGTGCAGTGGAGCTGGAAGTCTATCCTTATTTTTTATTTTTTTTTGTAATTCTTATAATTTTCCTCAAACTAACTTAATGTGAGGCAAGAGTTACACCCAGAAGTGTTAATTCTATTATTTGGTCAGATTAATTCCTTTATTATGGACTTTTTAAAATTAATTTGGCTGTTTTTTAAAATTCAAAATCTTATGCCAGCACTTTGAATTTATTGGTAGTACAGAACTTGCACCGACTGATGAAGTCAACTTTAAGGAACCATACTCATCCAGAAAATAGCATTGTACTCACCTCATATTTGGCCCTGTGCTTGGATCCTTCATACATTTTCGTTATTATACTGTCCTAAAATTGAATTAACCTTCAGTACTGGTTAGGGACTTTGGCCTATCAAGACAGCATGTATATTACACTACTGTTCCCACGGGGGAAGTCATGGCCTAATGGTCAGAGAGTCGAACTCGTAACCCAAAGGTTGCAGGTTTGAGTCTCGTACCAGCAGGGATTGTAGGTGGGGGGAGCGCTCTCTCCCACCTTCAATACCATGACTGAGGTGCCCTTGAGCAAGGCACTGAACCCCCGACTGCTCCCCGGGCAGCCGCAGCAAAAATGGCTGCCCACTGCTCCGGGTGTGTGTGTTCACTGCTGTGTGTGTGCACTTTGGATGGGTTAAAATGCAGAGCACTAATTGCCACATGTCACGTCGCTCACTTTAAAAAGTTTGGGGTCCGTAAGAGTTTTAAGATTTTTTTAACGAATTAATACTTTTATTCGGAAAGAGACAGTAAAGACATTTATAATATTACAAAATATTAATAATAAGCAGCACTGCCATTTTCAAGACTGATAAATGTTTCTTGAGCATCAAAATATTAGAATGATTTTTGGAGGATCATGTGATACTGAAGATTGGATCTGGAGCTGTAAATTCATCTTCTCCATCACTGGAATAAATTACATTTTAAAATATATACACTCCTATTAAAAGCCACTAGACATTTATATAAGAAATGCACACATTTTGTTATATTTGCACGCATTGATGTAATTTGAATGAAATAAATGTTTTAAGAAACCTGGTGTTTGATGTATTTATCTAATGCTGTGTGTTAGCTTATGCATATCATCTACCTGCGATATTACCCTCTGTGGAACAAAGAACAAACAACATATGTGTGCTTTTGATTACAATTTGCAGTATATTCATGATATTTTCATCTTAAAATACATTGTATGTAACAGATGAGAATAAACATGTGACTACCGTTGATCTTACGCACCTGTGTATCAGGGCATGGTTAGAGGCGGAGTCTATCCTCGGCTGCTGGGAAGACGGCCTACACCAATCCGGTCAATCGGAACGCTGACTCGTCGCCTTGGCAACTCAACGGCCTTCCTGCGGACATAACACAAAGAAATCAGCCATTTAATTTAGATCACTGCTTAGTCAATCACTCACAATTGTGGATTACGGTTTTTCCCTTTTCCTTTGTTTGATTGACCTGTCTTTCAACTCGGTATTATTGCAAAGTTAAAGGGGTCATATGATGCGATTTCAATTTTTCCTTTCTCTTTGGAGTGTTACAAGCTCTTGGTGCATAAAGAAGATCTGTAAAGTTGCAAAGACTAAAGTCTCAAATCCAAAGAGATATTCTTTATAAAAGTTAAGAGTCAGCCACACCTACCTAAAAAGGCTTGTTCTAACACGCCCCCACATGTCTACCTCACTATGTGGGAAGATTTGCATAACACCGCCCAAATGTTCACTCAAAGAAAGAAGGCATAACTTTTATTCTCACTGTAGTATTGTTGTTGCCGCCGCCATGTTGTGAAGGCGCTGTGTGCTTCGTTGTGAAAGCGAAACTACTTTGTTTGGCCTTCCAAAAGAGGACGATATCTGCTTCGTCATGCCTGGAGCTGATCTGTGTTGGTCGCTGAGGAAATACTACAACTTCGCGCTTTGGATCGCCGGATCGGCTTTCACCGTCGATGAAGCGGAGTCCAGCCCGGAGTCGTCGCCATAGACTGTATAAAAACATGGACGTAGTGTCCGTGACGTAACCCGTAGACTTCCGACGAGCGTTTTGAAGCCTAAAGTAGGCCTAGCCAGCTGTCGCCATCTTGGCAGCGCGTCACTCCCGGATAATCGAAAATGGGCAAAGAGGCGGGAGCTGGCTGCTGAAACCACTCCCACCTAATGTGGTTACAGCAGCGGCAATCCACCTGTCACTCAAGTGGCCACGCCCTTAATTATGCAGAACTTTAAGGCTTAATATAATTTAAACGTATGAGTTATAAAAAAATTCACCCCCCTCACAGTTGTCATGAAGGGCAAAATTAGCTATATAGATCAAAATAATTTTTTGAACCAGGCTGTAAACATGTTTTTTTCTGCTGTAAATTTGGGCATGTTAACATGGGGAGTCTATGGGATTGACTTTTGCAGCCAGACTCTAGCGGCCAGTTGATGAATTACAGTTTAAGTCACTTCCTTGTTGGCTTCACGAGAGAGAGCGGGAGGTTGCTGCTCGGTCGTCACATGTGGTTGCCGCAGGCATCACAATATGGTACAGTCTCTCCATGTTGATAACAACATTCTTAAAAGTATTGACAAAATGTTATTTAATTTCATATGGAAAAATGGCATACATTATATCAAGAAATCTGTTGGTTTGAATACTTATGAAAATGGTGGTCTCAATATGTTTGATTTTTGCACATTTAATAATACTCTTAAAATTAATTGGGCCAAACACTTTCTCAAAAATCCAACCTCAGTCTGGAACTTTATTCCACAATATATTTTCTCCATATTTGGTGGATTTAATTTTCTATTGCTTTGTAATTATAATGCATATACTAAATTATCTAAATTCCACAAGCAGGTCCTTCTCGCCTGGTCTCTTCTATACAAGCACAACTTTTCTCCTCATAAATATTTTATATGGAATAACAGAGATATTCTATATAAAAACAGATCTCTTTTCTTCCAGCGCTGGTTTGAGGCAGATATTTTGCTTGTAAGTCAATTATTTAATGCAAATGACCTTTTATTAAGCTATGAGGAATTTCTTAATCGTTTCAACATTCCTATTACCCCTAAAGAATTTGCTATTGTGTTCGATGCCATACCATCTGGAGTTATTAGACTATTTCAACGTATCCCCTACCCTTCTATTTTACCTTCTTTAGACCCTACTGTTACAATGGTGGGGAAATATTGTTTTCATCCACTTCTTCTAATAGATCAATACGTTTATTATTTCTCAAGGAAAATCTTTCAATTCCAAATGTGACAGTTTATTGGAATGATTTGTTTTTGATATTGCCTGGAGGAAAATTTGGCTGATTCCAAATAGTTACTTAATTAATAAAAAGATAAGAGAAGTTTCCTTACGTATTGTCCATCGTGTATATCCTGTTAATACCTTCTTAAAGAAATAAAAAAAAAAGATATTGATACAAATTGTTCTTTTTGCAAACAGCACTGAGAGACTATTGTGCATTTATTTTGGCTTTGCCATTACTCTAAAATATTGTGGAAAGACTTTTCCCTATTTGTTAGTGAGAACATTGATAAGGATTTTTCTTTACTTTGGGAAAATGTTTTGTTTGGAATTGTTAATTGGAAAAAAGAAAATTTCCTGAAAAACAAAATATACTTACTTAATCTTCTTATTTTATTAACCAAATTTTATATACATAAATGTAAATTTTCAGGTCAAAAACCACTGTTTTATGTTTTGCTTGCTGAATTGCAGCATTACTTTGGGACTATCTTTAACTCGTGGGAAAATGTTTTGTTTGGAATTGTTAATTGGAAAAAAGAAAATTTCCTGAAAAACAAAATATACTTACTTAATCTTCTTATTTTATTAACCAAATTTTATATACATAAATGTAAATTTTCAGGTCAAAAACCACTGTTTTATGTTTTGCTTGCTGAATTGCAGCATTACTTTGGGACAATCTTTAACTCGTGTAACAAGAAGGCTTTAAAAACAATTGACATTTGTAAGTCTTTTAATCTTTTCCTTTGATGTGATCTTTTGTGATTAGTTATATACAGGGTAGTAGTTTTGTACCCTGTAGTTTTTTTATTTATTATTATTTATTTTGTTATACATTGTGACTGCTTTTATCTTTGTCTATATAATGTTCTTAATTAAAAAAAATAAAAATATGGTAAGGGGCGTAACATTTCCGTCACATGCTTGAGGAATTCGGCCAATCACAACGCACTGGATAGCTGGCCAATCAGAGCACACTTCGCTTTTCAGACCGATGAGCTTTGTAAAAATCAACGCGTTTCATAAAGGCGGGGCATAAATGGGGAGAAACAATAATGTACAGTATGTGGAAAATAATGTGTTTTTTTAACCTTAAACCGCATAAACACATTTCATTACACCAAATACACCAAATAATGTTCTTTTTAGCAGCATCATATGACCCCTTTAAGGCGAGTATCACGAATACATGATTGGAAAACATGAATCTGTACTTTGTGATAGATGTGATTTTCCTGAAACAGTTGAACATGTTTCAATAAAGTGCAGAGGATATGATAATGAAAGATTACAATTTACAGAAGGCCTTAGAGATATAGGGATTAATCAGTTTTCACTTCAGAAGTTGTTAAACAAAAATGCAACTGTAAAAGTGTATAATATACTGTTGAAATATCTCAAAGATTTAAATTGGAGACCCTTTTTGTTTTTTTTAGTCTTCCCTTAACGTCGATGCTCCACACTCCATCCCAGCAGGTGGCGGCGGTATATGCACCTAAAGCTGATTTGCCAACCGCCATAAAACGTCAAAAAAGAAGAAGTATCATGAATAGATGTTTTCAAAAAATAGCATACTAACATACGACTCTGTGGTATCCACCTTACTTTTTAAGAGCGGGCACGGCCATTTTTCTAACTTGAATGTGCGAGGCTTCCGGTATCATCGCTTCCAGTTATTTTTATCTGTACAATTCACTTGGTTATGCTACTTGATATTTCTGAGAAACTGGTATTTCTCACATTATATTAATGTATTGTCATAATTATAAACACACTGGTTTGTAGCCCAACTATTTTTACCGTTTACAGCACTTCCTTAATCTTCTAGTTGTTTATCAAACGGGGCAAGTCGTGGCCTAATGGTTAGAGAGTCGGACTCATAACTCAAAGGTTGCGGGTTCAAGTCTCGTACTGGCAGAGATTGTAGGTGGGGGGAGTGAATGTACAGTGCTCTCTTCCACCTTCAATACCATGACTGAGGTGCCCTTGAGCAAGGCACCGAACCCCCAACTGCTCCCCGGGTGCCGCAGCATAAATGGCTGCCCACTGCTCCGGGTGTGTGTTCACGGTGTGTGTGTGTGCGCACTTTGGATGGGTTAACTGCAGAGCACTAAATCCTAGTATGGGAAACCATACTTGGCCACATGTCATGTCACTTTGTCACTTTCAATAGCAGCTAATTAAGTGTAATCGAATATGCCTACTATATACAAAGCATGGACAACTTGCAATGCACTCAACTTGACCTTTCATTTCCAAAGTGATGAATCAACCGGAATTCTTGGCATGATCTTTAACATCTTTTTTCATCATTTCATCATAGTGAAAATAAATAAAATAAAAAGTAATTTTTTTTTTTTTACACAACAGTATTGAACAGATGACTTGATCAGTCACATACATGATAAGGTCCATGATGCAATGCATGGTGTAAATCACAGTCTTCCTAAATATTCTTCCATCTCTCTGATGGACAATTCATCTAACACCATTTTAAGGTGGTAGCCTGGTTTTACATGGGGTTTAGCTGGTCCAAGTTCACTGGATCTACTGGTAATTATGTCTTAATCACTGTAACATATTGTTACACTTAGTATAAAAGAAAAAAAAAGAAAAAAAGGCACTCTAAGAAAACTTCATAAAAATTTGTCCCAATCTACAGTTTATGTGAATTTTCTATACTGATTTGTTACAGGTGGTTTACCTGTATTTTGAATTACACATTGCATTGTGTATTGTTTAGGGTTGAAGGAAATGTCCATAAATTTAACGAAAAATGTACTGGTAATTTCTACTATACATTTTCCCCTCCTTATCCTACAGTTTTTTTTGATAAGGTGAGGGTATACTGAAGTATTTTTAAGTATTATGCTGGTTTTCCAGTACTACTAGTAATAGTCTATTAGTATTGCTACCTAGGGTCAAAGGTTTTTCTTAAACCCACATGTGTTCTATGGTCATACCTCGATTTTTGTCTGGAAAACCTGGAAGATTTGGAAAAAAAGATCTGGAAGATTTCTTGAGAAAATGTAGAAGTAGTAACAAAATCCAACATTGACTTTCAAGTTGAATATCTTTGCTGAGGATCCATGGAACAGTCAAATAGCTACGAAGTGGTTTTCGTGAGCTTTCATGTGTTTATCAGGCTCATGACGGATGGATTGGGGTGTTGCGATTTGATAATGCATGGCGTGGTGCTTTCGCTGCTGTTCTTGGCTTCTGTCCTGATCTTATCAAGTGTTGAGGATCATTTAGATCGAGCCTTGTCAGAGCCTCAGGCCATGCTGAGTTACACTGCATGTTCTGTCCAGCAGGGAGATCAAATCATTCAAAGAGATAAAACAGTTTTGATCATTGACTGGAAGTCCGATGCTACAGTCATCAGCACAGTTGGACTCTCCGTTCCCATAAATCAGCATCAGACACTTATTATGTCATACAAAACCTCAATCCACACCACAGCGACTCCACCCAAGAAATATAAGTAACTTTAACTGTGGGCTACAGACAAAACAGTAATTGCACTTAGTGAACTGTAAAAGCACAAACAGGCTCATGCAAAGCTATCAAGCTGTGCACGACAGACTTCAGCCAATAAAAACTGTACATGTTCGAGCCACAGCCAGTCAAATCTACCTATGGTTCATAATCTGTTCGGGATCATAGCAATTGAGACAATATGAATGACATGTATGAACAATTATTGTTAAAGAACACCAATAAGGTATCCAAGGTATCAATTTAAAAATGTATTACAAATGGTAAAATATTATTTAATTATTATTAATGAAATATTTTAATGATAAAAATAATATTTTATTAGTTATTTACATTATTTTGTAGGCAGAGGAGGGAATAATTTTTTTGTCTGTTTCCAAACAAAAAGAAGAGTGTTTTCTTTTACTCTTGTTTCTCACCTCTGCTTGTTGCTTTTGGGATCCATGGTGCTGATTGACAGGCGATCAAGAGGCGTGTTGGATCCGGGGAAGCTCCGTTTCCTCTTGGTCTCAATGACATCGTTCTCCAGTCGGACCAGCTGGTCGTGCAGGAGGAGTTTAGCGTTCTTCTGCTCGGTTTGGCCTCGCTGGACACTACGGCTCTCCACAACAGATGGTTCCACATACTAGATTAGAAATGGAAATGCATGGTGTAATGCAAATTATGTCTTAATCACAAATTTTGTCAGAAAAATCACAGTCTTCCTAAATATTCCCATATCTCTCTGATGGACAATTCATCTAACACCATTTTAAGGTGTTAGGCTGGTTTTACATGGGTTCTAGCTGGTCCAAGTTCACTGGATCCAGCTGGTGGATATGGTTTCAACCTTTGTCAAGCAAGTTATAACTGGTCGACCACCTTGGAATAGCAAAAAACAGCAGCTTGAGCACCTTTGAGAGACCAACTCAAGACCATTTAAGACACAATAATAAAGTTTTATTTCACATGGAGAAACAGGAAGACTGGGTGACCCAGTGGGTCAGTTCTCAGACAGGTAGCTCATGTTCATAAGGAGAGGGTGATGTTTGCATCCTCCTGTGGAGGCTCTCTAGGAGAATCCCCACTGTATTTACTGAGCAGTCAGACTGATGACAGTTTATCATCTCTCACTTGTGCCAGTTAGTCTCATCACCTACATGTCTCTGTTTTTGTGTTTCTGAAGACAGGCAGAGTGAATTTCCCTCACAAAACAAATAATACAACCTTATTCTCTCTCTCTCTCCCTCTCTCTCTCTCTCTCTCTCTCTCTC